GAGGGACTCAGCACTCCACTGCCTTCCTCATGCTCCTCTTCCTCAGGCTCAGCTTTCTGGAGAGCTGAGAGGTGCATCCAGCTTCACCCAGCTGATCTGGGTGCCCCACTCATCTCCAGCAGTCCCAGTTCCCAGCAGGGTCTGTGTGTGTCTGCCCATCACCAGGCTCAGGCTGCACCTTTCCAACCACCTGCAAGGGAGTTTGGGAGCTCTGCTCACTTGGCAGGACCTGACCTGCACGTGTTCCTGGCAGGACTGGGCTGAGCCTTAGAGGTGAGCTGGGGTGCTGGCCCAGAAGCCCACAAGAAGCCTCACTGGGCACATTTGTGATAGAAAGTGAAAAAGAGCACTAGAAATTTTTATCCTTCATCTGGCTTCCTGACTCATCCCTGGGAGACTGAGATTTCCCTTCCAGCAGGGGCTGAACAGCTGGGGACACACAGATCACCAGGCCCCTAGTCCCAGGTTCATCTCCTCCTCCCCAGAGGGGCTCAGGTAGCAGGTGGGAGTTTAAGGTGTTGGGAGATCTTAGGAGATCTCCTAGGAAGCTCATCAAGCATCCCACTGCCCGTCATGGCCCAAAGCAGGGCAGAAGCCCACGTTGTAGGGAGTGAGTCTGGGTGAAGGCCAGCAGAGCTCAGGACACCCAACGTGTGCCCTGTTCAGAGGCACGGGGAGCTGGAGGTCTGGGAGCAGACCAAGAGACCATGAGAGGTGAGAAGGTTTTTTTCTGCCTGTTCCTCATGGCGTCTCCTCCAGAGCCAAGGCTGGTGCCAGCTGTGTGCCAGCACACGGGCAGGAAGGTCTGGGGCTGTAAGACTGACAAATGGGGCAGTGCTGGTGCCACCAGCAGTTCCACATCTAGGGGACATGTGCCCACAGCTGTTCTGGGGGATGGACTGGGTAATGCCTCCTGCTTCCCAAAAAGCCAGGGGTCACCACAGCCCATGGAGGCACACAGGCTGTGCCACCAGCAGGGCTCAAGGGTACATGTCCTGGTTCCAAACAGGATCCTTCATTCACTGAGACACTTCCTGGGGCTTCTCCCTCCTTGATCACCTTTCCCAGGTGTTTTGCTATTGCCCAGATGTTGGTGCTTCAGGAGCTTCTTTAGGTTCGTGAATGTTTAGCCCTTAGTAGAGCCATGGATTTTTAAAATCAAAAGGTCATTTCTAGGTCACTGAATAATTACTACTGCTGTCCCTGCTGTCACTAATTCTATCACAGAGAAGCAGCAGCTTGCTGAGAAATCCTCAAGCTGCAGGCTGAAAATGAAGAGAAATTCACCACAGAAAATGCAAGATTAGGAGCACTTAGTGCCACGGGCTGTTGGAAGGAGAAGCAGGGCCAGGGCACATCAAAGCTGGGCACAGGGATTCCCTTCATCCCTGCTGCTCCCCCACGGGCCTGAGCTCTTCCTGCACACCCTGTTATTTCAGAGTGCTCAGCACAGTGAGGAGGTGTCTGCAGCCCCTTCGTGCTGTGCCTCCACCACAGCTCTGGGCTGGGGGGTTTTGGGGGCACACTCCTGTCTTGCAGCCTCTGGTCAAAGCACTGTGTTGGGCACAAAGTCTGTGGGGACCTCGGTGTCTGCTGTGAGCCAGGGCAAACCCTCAGCAGGGTTCCCTCAGGTCAGGGGGAACCACCAGCTGGAGGGAAAGCTGTTGCTGTTCATGGAATCATGGAATGGTTTGGGTTTGGAAGGGACATTAAACTCATCTTGCTCCTCCTCCCTGCCATGGGCAGGGACATCTTCCTCTAGACCAGGCTGCTCCAGGCCCATCCAACCTGGCCTGGAACACTCCCAGGTATGGGGCAGCCACAACTGCTCTATTGCTGCTAGAGGTTTGGTTTTTTTTGAGGAGCAACAGGATCTTTCAGCTGCATTAGATTATCTTGGGATAGATTCCCTGATTGGCAAAGCGAGGGGTGGGGGCAAATCTGACTTCCCTCAGGGACCCTCTAAGAGCAGGAATTGCTCTGGGGTGGAGCAGCTCCTCCTGTGCTGGTGGGAGCTCAGCACCACACTGGGCCATTGACTGTCCTTGTGATGGCCAGGATGTCATTCCAGCCCTCAGCCAGTGCAGCGTGCAGGGCGTGGCAAGGTGCTTTTCCATGACCATTCCTGGGAGATGCTCTGCAGGTTCAACCCAAGACCAAGATGAACAGCCTCAGCTGGGAATCCTGGGCTGTGAGCTGTGCTGGATGTTCCAGGCATTGTTACTGTCTCACATGGCAGGGAGAGGCACTGTGGGCATCTCCTGCTTCCAGTTTTAGTAGGGTTCAGTCCTTCTGGTCAGTCCTGGCAATGTTTGCTCTGGCTCTGATGGATGCAGGCTGGCTCAGGGAGACACTTCTGGGAGGAAGAGCAAAGAGAGGCACAGAGAAGCAACGTCCCTTGTAGGGCAAGTAGAGCTGAGCTGGGTTCTGCTGCTCAAAACCAGTCCCCTCCTCCTTCCCACTGTGTTTGTGGCTCTCCCAGGGCATCCTTGGCAGGTCAAGCTCTTCCAGGCATCCCTTGGCACCGAGCTTTGGAGACAGTTTCCCCAGCAGTCCCTGCCTGACAGCAGTCTGAGGACAGCAGCTGCCCCCAAAGGCTCTGGAGCAGCTGGCCCCATCTGAGTCCCAGCTTGCCCAGGGCGTGCAGAGCAATGGCTCCCCAGGAGTCACGCTGCCTTGCTCCTTGCCTGGCAGCAGAAATCACCCTCTGTCCTTGCCTTGGCTTTTGATTCCCAGGCCAACTTGAATATTGGGGATGTTATAAAATTCCCCACTTTCAGCATCTCTGTATTTTAGACTTGGAGAAACAAATCCAGGATGAGATATTCAAGTATTCCTTTCACAGTTCCCATGCTCTGCTGGGTTGAAAGGGAAGCTCTTAGAAGATGGATCAAGTTCATGTCTATGCCTCTTGATTGCAAATACGCATTCCTGGAAATCCAGAGCAGTCTCTCTTCCCAACACCTGCATGGCAGGACTGGGAAGGATTGGGCAGCTACCAGTTGGCTTTTGAGTCACTTCTCCATGTCAGCAGAAGTGGTGGAAGCAGCAAAAATACCTTCTGTGTTTCCCTAGGTCAGGAATGCCACCCTGGGGCATTTCTTTTTATCTTGAATAATTATTATCAGCCAATTCCCAGAAAAAATCTCAGGCTCTCTGCAATGCCAACCAAACCAGCATGGAAGGAATTGCTTTGGTTGGGAGCCATCCTGTGAGGCAAGGCCAGCTCAGGATGCTCCATATCTGAGTCACTGGAGCATTGCCCCATCCACTGAAAACAAATTTGAACAATTACTAACCCCAAAACTTTGTGACCAGAGTTTTTGTCTGACATATCAGTTTAGTTTTTGTTTTAAGCATAAAATGAGCAGCGGAGACATGAGAAGCAGTGGGATCAATGCTCAGGGTCGTTCCCGTGTGCTATAGAGAGTTTGGTTTGGAGTGGGAAATTAAGCTAAAGAGGAAGTGTTTTCTTCCAAAATAAGGGCCTTTCACAGCTTGGCAAGGTAAAGAGCAGCTGTTTCCTGCTTCTTCTCAAGCACCCACCATTGGCCAGTGGGTATCAGCTTGGAGAAGCCCAGGTAAGTTTCCTGATGTTACTCAGACAAATGGAGCAATTTCATCAGTGCTCTATTCCCCCCAAACCAGAAAGCAAATTTCTAGGAATATACTGCTCATAATAACCGTGGGCTAGCTCACAAAGGAGATAGAGATGTGTGTAAATATGCTATTCAGAGGAGTAAGAGAGAGCAGAATAATTTCTGGTGGAAACAGCGTGGTCTGATGGGTGAGCTGCTGCAGTGAAAAGCCCAGGGAGAGCTGGGGTGGTGCTGCAGGGCCCAGGGATGGATATTTCAACCCTTTCCAAACCAGCAAGGGAAAGAGAGGCGAGGGAAGGGGCAGGGGAAGGCTGGGGGACACACTGTCCATGTACACGGAGCAGGGTCCGGGCTCCCCCCTCCCCAGCCGGCAGAGCGAGCGTGGGGTGCGCCGGCAATCCTGCCCCGAACATGAAGCGTGAAATCCATGTCCAACAAGAATTTCAGCTAGTGCATAATGTATTCGCTGGCTGGGTTTGTAGCCAGGGCTGAGAGCGCTGAATTAAACATGGGGTGACTCAGCGCTGGTCCGCGGCGGGCTGGGAGCGGGGCTGCGGGGACAGGTGCATTATTGATGGCTTCATTGCCCACGTCCGAGCGCCGGGAGGGAGAACAGCGGCGGCTGCGGCGCTTGCAGGGGGACACGGTGTGGCCACGCTCGGCATTTGCAACGCCTGCCTGCTCTGCTGCTGCTCCTGGCACAGGGATTGCTGCATGCAGCCTCTCCCTGCTGCCGCTGTGCACCTGCAGCCCCTGCAGCCAAGGCAGGGCAGCACCGGCCCCGGCCCCGGGGCTGCAGAGAGCTTGGGGGCTGCACAGCCCGCTCCCCAGGCAGAGAGCAGCCCTTGGGGCTTGCAAGGGGTGAGAGCCCCTGAATTTGCCTTTGGCTTTGCTGATGATCCAAAGCCTTCATCTGCTTCTGCGGACCCAGGGCCCCTGAGCAGGGAGCACAGGGTGTTCCAGCAGCCTTGGAGCGGCAGGAAGCAGGACCGAGTCTCGCTGGAACTGAGTGTGATAACTCATTACCTCACAGGAGGATGTTCTACTTCTATCCCAAAGCTGTATGCTGTAAAACCCCCATCCTGCATCTCCAGGCCCCAGCCCTACGAGCAGCAGCAGCGAGTGCTGCAGGGCTTTGGGCTCAGAGCATCCTGCTGGCTGGGATGTGAAGGGAAAGCCTCATGGAAGAGGTTGGAAAACATGAGCTAGCACTCCTGTCAGGCCTTGCAGGGAGAGGCGTGGTTTGCCTCTTCCTCAGAACCTAATTTGAACCACAAGGATGCAGCGAAAAAAAAAAACCCAAAAAACTGCTTTGGAAGATTTTAAAGAACAGCACAAACTAAAAAAGCAGCTGCCAAACCGAATTTCCATTATTAAAAATCAGCACTGATAAGAGCCATCTTAGATCAAATAATTTATTTAGTAATTCCATGTAAACACTTCAGATTTACTAGCAAATACAATGCTTGCTGTTCTTTTAAATAGATCATTCAAAAAATAAGAATCTATTATTAATGGCAGGTTGACTAGAGATCTCCATACTACTGTACAATAAGGAATTGGTTTTCTAATGGATTTAACATCTCGATTTTTCTTGTTCTGCATTTGCTTTACACAAAGCCCAAAGGACACAGGTTTGAACTGCTCCCTGACGATGCCACTGCGGCCCGGGGTGTTTGGGGAAGGTACGCAGGCAACTCCTCCCATCCTGGCATTGGTGTGAGCTGATGTGAGGGTGGGATGGCAGAGCTGGCGTGAACACTGTTCACAAACACACGCCTTTTCGGTCAGAAAACAGACAGGGAACGGTGGAGAACTTCTCTTTGGGATGTATAAAAGCAACGAACTCCATCGTTGGCATTTACTTATCAACACAGCAGTACACATACACGTATCCACAGTCTGGAAAAGCATCCTATGAGCTGGAGAAAGCAGTGGTTCTGAGGCTTGGTACACCAGTGCACTAAAACCAAAAGAATGATACCTTCTTACATAGTCAAATGAAAAATAAATATCTTTATTTTCTGCCTACTTTATTTCAGTTTTCAAATAAATTTTAAATAAATCTGTACAAAGTATACTGTTACAGTATATATTTGTAAGTGAACTGAAATGCCTAAGTGTAACAACACTACAGGAAAGCAGTAAAGATTGGCACATCTCTAATCAAGATTAACTTTTACACTCAAAAAATACCAACACCTGTGAAAACCCTCAAGATATTTTTGGTATTTTTTATGCAAGTTGTAACGACAGACCAATTCTCCCCTGCCTTGAAAAGAAAATCACTTCTCACGGTTTTCAGAGAACATGAACATCTTTATGATGCTAAAGGGACACCATCAGGTGAAAAGAGAGAGAGAGATTTCAATTTTTAAAAAGCAAACGCTTTGGTCAAAAATCATCACGTTTGAGCCTTTGTGCACTTTTTCCATCTCCCGAGCGCCGGCCCTGCCCGGCCGCGGGGATGGAGGTGCCCTGGCCAGGGACAAAAACACCAGGAGAGGAGCTGCTCCCCTTGCGATCCAAACGGAATTCACACGCATGCCACAGGGCTGCATTTTGTGGTTTCTTTTTCCCCCCAAAAGCAAGAAACTAAAATTGATCTGACAGTGTCCCTTTGCTCAAAATAAAGACTTCTGTGCTAGAGAGGTCAGGTACTGAAACGAACTTTTCACAGGGTCAAAGAGCCAGGTACATCTCAAAATTCAAGTTTTCAAATCCAACTGCAGTTATTAGATTATTGAGCTCTCAAAACCTCCTAATATTTCGTTAAATAATTCCCAACTGGGAATTGGGGATAAATACTACAGATTAAGAGTGAGAGTTTTCTCTCTTAATCTTTCCAAAGATATATTCACTCAAAGTTTACATGCTGAAAGTTAATCTTACATTAGAATGTAATTGGCTGCAACATAAACCTATAAATGAATCAACTACCATAGATTAAACTCTGTTAAATATTTCTAAGTTAATAAAATATTGACAGTATTATAAAATTACAGTATTTACAATAAGAAAAATCTAGACTAATATATACCTTTAACAGATCTCTTCTCCAATTTGGGATTGCAACGGAATTATGAATATATGAACAATTTATTAGAAAGTTGCATTGCAATTATCAGGTTTTCCATTAGAGCTAGAGAGGGTGAGCTATCACTGCCTTTGGAAAAAACAAAAAGTGACTTCTGGTGGTGGGGTGTAGCTTTTGAGTACCAAACTGGCAACAGGAGTCCTCCGCAAGACGTCTGAAGATAAGGTAGGACCAGCCTCAACTGCTCAGATTAAGGTTGTATTACAGAACTGCCAGCAATCAGAACCACCCAGGCTGCAAAAGGGGAGGAAAGGTAGTTTTCAGCTCAAAGTGCACAGCTGGAAGGGCTCCCCTCATTCTGGACTCCAACTAAGGTGCAGGAGCTCTGATCAGGAACAGCAAAACCCTCAGCTCGGGGTCGTGAGGAGGAAACGAGCCACGGTGCTCCTTAAAGGGACATGGTTGGGCTGCAGCTATGCCAAAACACCCCTGTCAGCCATGTAGGACAAAACCAGACTGGGCATTTGAGATCCTCTTGGACTTGCTTTTTTAGGAGGTTTTTTGGGGGAGGGTCAGGGCTTTGCTTTAGTTTGGGGATTTTTTTTGCATTTTGTTTGCTTGGGAGAAAAAATTTGGTCAGGACTGTGCAGTAAACTCGTTTTCTATCCCTCATCAGGTTCTCTGTTTCTGGGGTATTACCAAAACGTGCAGTGTTTGGGTGGCAAATACTTGTGGGGAAAAAGGAGGCTTCAGCATTCCCATGTCAATTTGTCTTGGGATAAACCAAAAGCAATTTGAGTCCTTAAAAATTGCCAGCTGCTTTTGGGGTCTCAGACACCCAGTGATGTCCTTTTAAGGATCAGATCTTTCACTTGCCCTTTTTCCCAGCCTCGGAGGAGGAGTTTACAACGAGTTTAGGAAGGGCCATGTTCACATTCTCTCCCTCCTCCCCATGTCACATTTGCTTTCTAGGAAAAAAGGGGGAGAAAAGTAAGTTTCAAACTCCTTTCCCACCCTTCCCTCCCCCGGTCCTGCTCACAGTAAACCAGAAATGGCAGTTTTTAGTGTATATTTTGGGATAAATTATTTTCTCAGTCCCAAGCCTGAAGATGCTAGTGAGAGACCTACCCGCAGGCTTTGGAGAGGAGGAGCAATTTAGGGGTTTCTACCAGTTCCCATGGTGGGCAGGTGGGAAGACCTCTGTCCTTAAAAGCAGGATTTAAAATGGTAAAAGAACAATTTGTAAACTCGGATCTACATTACCAATAGAAGGCTCTAGGTCCTGTGGGCTCCAGTTCCCAGAGATGCAGAGCAGGAAAACTAGAAAGAGAACTTGGTACCTTTCAACCACCTGCTGGGTTGTACTGGGGGGGAGTGGGGAATGAGAGAGACAAAATGCCAACTGACCTTATAAACAAAGGTATGTTTAGGGCTTCTGGTTTCAGGAATAAACCGATATTTACTGGTAAAAGTCTGCCAAAAAACAAAAACAGAAACACAGGATTACTGGTAAATATTGGTTTATATGGAGAATTAAAAAAAAAATAAAAAAAAGAGATGTCATTGTGCTCCCAGGTGGGAGCTGAGAACCGACCCATGGCATCCCTGCACCCAGCAGTGTCTCTGGCACCTGGACACCTCAAACCAGAAGCCTTGTGTTGAGAGGAAAGTCGTGTTTGTTTCCTTTACTCCCCTTAAACTACGTGTTTCTGGATTCCCCCCTCCCTCCTCTGCAAGGCTGGTCCTACGGGGGTTTGGCTCAGGAGATGGGAAGTCTGCTTCCAAAAGCACTTGGAAGTGAATTTGTACATAATATGGTATCTCAGCACAAGGCTGCCAGGGCCTGAGCCTCAGCTGCTCCCTGAGATACCATAAAATATACAAGACTGAGTGTATATTTTAAATAAAGCATTTTCTTGTAAGTGGCATAAACCCATTCATTTTATTTACATGCTCATTTATTTCCAAAAATAGAGTTGGTCCACATTGGACAAGAGAAATCAAGAAGCCATACAGTAGAAGAGTTAAAAGTCCAACATTTAACCAAAGTACAATGAAATTCCAGAAGGCTGTGGCTGACTTGAACCACAGAAACATACACATGAGCCACACAGACATTTGTACATAGAGCATTATATTACCAATAATATTTGCAAACATGAGGTCAAGATGGCTAAAAACCCAGCAGGACTGACCCGGGCGTCCTGGCTGAACAGAAGTGGGTGCTGAGGGGCCGTCACTGCTGTGGGGAAACACAACTCTACAGAGATTTTGCTTCACTTTTGCTTTTTTCTTTAACTGAGAAAGTCCTAATTTTTCTGCCCTGGGGATCCAAATTGAGAACAGGGTGAAAGCCAACCCCACAGAGTTCCCTAAATGCCGGGGTGCCGGGGGCTCAGACCTGCGGGACAGCGCGGGTGCCACACGGCACCGGAACCCCACCGGAGGGCAAAACGCTGCCCTCTGCTACTTGGCCTTAAAGATCACCTGGAAAAGAAAAAGTTGGGATCTATACCCTTGTGGTGTGCTAAAAAAAGTCTGGATGGGGTTTGCCTTGAAAACAAGGATTTCCCTCCCTTGCCATGGGCAATTTTTGGCATTAGTTATTCCAATCCTGTCTACCTTTCTTGGAAGATCACAAATATCTTAGAGGATGTTGCACTGACAGGTGAGGGAATAACTTTTTTACATTTAAAGAAACCAAACAAAAACTTAGAGAATGGACAGTAGAAGAAAAAAAACAAACAACCAAATGGAAAAGATGCCTTATGTCTGTGTGAGGGCCCAGGTTTCTGGGTATCTCCATGGACCTCACCTTGATAATATCTCAGTGTCTCCAAAGGATGGAAAAACAGACTTAGATCTGTATGTTCTGCTGCAGAGAATCAGCAAGTAAAAGGGGGAAGACAATTGTAGCACTTCTGGTACTTCTACAAACCACCCACTACATGGAGTAGAACCACACGAAAAGGGTATAAACTAATTTTCCTTTTTCAAGTCATCTTAGACACTGACGCTATTAAGCCTAGTCCAATGTGAATGCTAGTACAGAGCTAATGTACAGAATGCCAGCGATAATTATCAGTACCTAACAGGATTTAAAGGCGAGTATACTCAGTACATTTATTAAAAAACACTAGGACCAGAACCAGAGCTCTGACAGCAGTTACACAAAGCAGCCGTGCAGGTCTCTACGAGGACAGAGCCTTTAGCACAAGTCGCTATGATCACCCGAGCCTGGGACAGACAACTCCATCTCCTAATTTGTTTCCTAGAACATCTCTAATCGCAGATGTGAAATATGAAAACAGAGATGGGCCTGATCCTGTGCAGTTGGGTACGTACAACACACCCCAGTGAAACTCAAAGCCCAAATCCCTAAAGAGAGAGCACAAGAAATTGTTGTCTTACATCAAAACACTATCATGCAAGCATACCACGACGGTTTTATATTGAGTAACTTCAAAGTCAGCTGGTATAATTTAACTAGAAGTGAGCAATCTAATGGATTTCTAGGGGTAGGGACAAAGGTTGTGCCAGTGACAACCACCTGATTACCAGGGAGAGCAGCACAGGGACACTGTGGGGGTCTGACGAGCTGTGGTACAGAGGAGCTCCTGCTCAGCATCCTCCCAGACCTGCACCTACACCTGGAATGTGCAGGACTCCTGTGGCAGGCTACACGCCTTCCCTTCATTTGCTCTGCTACCACAATCACAGTTCTTCCTCCTGGATGAACAATTCACTTACAGCCTGGCATACTGACGGAGCATTAAAAATGACTCTTTTTTCCCCCCCTGTTGCCTGTTGCCTCACACGTCCCAAGGTCAGCCCCATGCTCACTGCACCAAACCTTATGCTCTTCTCAATTTTCCAGCCACAGCCAGGCTGGGGTCACTTCTCCAATACAGCCCAACCACTCTCCTCCTTGTCTTTAAATACAAACTCTGACTGAAACCTCCTGGTGCCTGCAGTTATCCTGCTTCTATTGCAAACTCCAAGGACTTATCAAAACACTCACTCTTTGGTACCATCATCTACTGGAGACAGGGAAGGTGGGGGAAGCCAGGGTATTTGCCATAACTCCTGGACTTTTAAGAAGCCTAAAACTAAGCCAGAGCAGCAAAAGGGTGCTCTGGCTGACACCAGTTACCTGTGGGTTCTCCTGGGTCTCTTGGGAAGAGAGGTAACACAAGTCTGCATGTGCACACATCAACAATGCCCCCTCAAGGACAGACCTAGGCAAGAGCTGGAAGATGCTGCCCAGACCTCTGTTCCTCCTCCTTCCCTTTCTGCCCATTATAAAAGTAAAGACCTCTGAGTTTTTTCTTAGTAAGAAGAAAACAAAACATAGCCACAATATCAGCTGCTGAGGCACAGTCTGGGATCTGGCAGACCTGCAAGTCCAGCTCAAGGCAGGAATTTGAACTGGAGGTGTTGCTTTACAGGAGAAATCTAGATTTCTCTAGATCACCCAGTATTCTGGGCTTGTTTCTCCCCTCAAACCTGGATCTAGTGGTATCCACCAGAAATGTTTCATGAAAACCAACCTTTCTTTGCAACTTTGGGTTTAATGAAACCATTGAATGAAACTCATTTGCTCAAAGGCTGAAGATGCAGTCTTGGAAGCCTTTAATCACCTTGTCTAACTAGACTTTAGTCTACCTTTTGCTTCCCAAGTGACAAATAGCAACTGCAACCAAAGAAGGGCTCTGCAGTATTTCTCTTCTCATTACAAGCCTATTTTTTCTCCTGTTGTTTGCCAATGGGTTCAGACATTCTGGTAGGTGCCCCAGCAAACCAGACTGATCATAGAATCAAAGAATGGATTGGGTTGGAAGGGATCACCTGGTCCAACCCCCTTTCTCTGCAGAAAGTATGTTGCTTTCTAACTCTCACACACTGAAGAACTGCAGCACTTCACCTTCACCTTCTCAAACTGGAGTTCAGGGTTTTTGCTGATCTGCAATTCCCAGTGCCATAATGAATACTTTAATTAAAAAAAAAAAGAATAACCTGACATTAGGACATTATCTAGTCATGGAGAATACTAAGCTGTTTTTTGACAGCCCTGTTTTTGTTAGTCCCTTTAAGTATTTCAGTCCCAAGCTTGTTTAAAACCCCTTGATACAGCTGTTGCTCCTCCACTTGAATTTCCTACTTTACTCCATCATCTCTGCTTCACTTGAGTTTTAGAGGAAGGCTCCTTATTCCACCCAAAAGGACAGCAGTCTCTCAAACGTGCCCTGTGCTCCAGAATGACATGGAGGAGTCACTTCAGTGGCAAGAAGTAGTGCAGGAAGTGAATTCTGCCTTCAGAATTCTGCCTTCAGTCCTGCACAGCCAGATTTTCTCCCCAGCCTCGTCTCTGATGTCCCTCAGACAGATTTGGCTCCCCAAAGCCCCCAGCTCTGCAAAGCCCCTCCTAAACTACTTCATTTCCCAATCATGGTTACCTGCCCTTCCACATGGCTCTTCCTGTCTGCTCCTCAAGAGCTGGACTTCTGTCCTTGGGTGGAATCTTCCTGAACTCCAGAAGTCCCTTCCTTTATAACTATTTTTAACAACAGTTTTAGGGTTGTTCTTTCTTTCATGACAGAGTTCTGCCTCACCTGGATGCCAGTAACAGAAGTCCCTTCCTTTATAACTATTTTTAACAACAGTTTTAGGGTTGTTCTTTCTTTCTTTCATGACAGAGCTCTGCCTCACCTGGATGCCAGTACCCTTCCCAGGTATCTATGGGAAGTCTAAGAATTCATTTTTCTGATCTTCTCCCATGCAATATTTTGGAACAAAAGACTCACTTTTAGTCCAGCACCTTCTACCCCTGAGAATGCTGAACCTGCAATTCAGTGACCCCCATGTGGTCACTGCTACTTAACAACTCAGCTGTAATTGTATTTTGAATCAGATCTTATGCTTTAGTCCTAAACAAAAGCTAACTCTAGATCAGTCTGTTACAAGAAATGATCCTTTAAGTAATCAATAAATTTGCTACACCAAAATGTTAGCCAGTTCTCTCCCAAACAATCTGGCCAGGTAGCATGGTCATAATAGAACTCACTTTTTCTAACAGGTTTATGAAGATGCATGAGCCTGGTTTTTTTCCCAGGGCTCATGAAATCCTCAACTTTCCTTTTGTCTGGAATAGAAAACTTCCTAATACGTCTATGTCATTAAAATACAGAATTTATATCCAACATAAATGTGGCTGTTTGATTGTCAGTACTCCAATTTCCTCAGATTTTACAGCAACCTTTTAGATGTAGTGTTCCTCCTTTATGACCTAACATACCTGCTACAATGGCAGGTAATGCAGTATCTTATTGATTTCCATCACCCCCACCATGTTTCAATCAGAGCAGTTGTGACGAGGTCTTTTTTCACCACTGAGCAGTCTACAACAACTATTTTTGTCTCCTGTTTCCACCCTGTTGTGCAGATGTGCCCATTCCTTATTCCAGCCCAGTCCCTCCTGTGCACACAACTCTGCTCCCAACCTCCAGCCCCAACAGCCTCAGCCTCCCCCCAGCCTCTGTCCTCCCCAAACCCTGCCCACGCCCTGTGCCACCAGGCTGGGGACACCTGGGCTGGAGTGGAAATGCTGTGAAGTCACAGCCCTTCAGTTCACTTCCCTGTCACAGCCTTTTCCCAGGCACACACGCAGACTTTAGGAAGAGGCACTGCCACGTCCTAAATTCTGTCTCCTTCCTGGACACCCAGTTTGGCTTCCCAGGTATCTCAGCTTCGAGCATGCAGGCTTGCCCCAAGCACTCTGACACCTTTCAAGGTCTCTGTGTCCAATCAACAGGGAGATAGTTTGATGGATCTCCTAATCATTGGGGGCTTGCATTTCCCATCACCAAATCCTGTGCCATTCAGACCTCCCACAGCTGCTTTTCCAGCTTCTGGAAGCATCTCCAGAACACAAATCAACTCCTCAACCAAGGCTTTGCTTATAAATCACCCCTTCAATCCTGTCCAGTTTCAACTCTCCACAAGGCAGGGCGGTGAGTGCTGTGGTGGGAATGAACCCTGACCATGCTTATTTATTTCCAAAAATAGAGTTGGTCCACATTGGACAAGAGAAATGTCCAATTCTCTTCGATTGGACAAAGATTTGGTGCCATCTCTCCTCCAGCAGCTCAGCAGTTCTGGCCTCAGGGTGCTTTCTGGAGCCTGGAATGCCCTCACTTGTTGCTCCATATAGTATTTCATCAGCAGATAATCACTTGTAAAGCGTGTCCTCTCTGCACTCTTGTGTGCAGTTCTTTGTGCAATTAAGCCAATGTACTTTGATTCCCATAATTAAGCTAGGAATTTTACTTTATGACCATATAAAGTCCATCTTTAAACCAAAAATAGACTGACCGTTAACAGATTCTTTTTTTTAAACGACTTTAAACCGCCAATTAGAGACTTGCATTGGACAAGATAAGTTGCATATGGCCTTGCAGAAGCCTGCAAGGACTCATTTTCCAGGACTTTTATTGACAGGTGAAGCTCAGAAGCCAACTTTTTTTTTTTTTAAAGATAGAATGAGCCTCTGATCGCAGCAGATCTATCCACAAACCAAACTGTTCACATGCATGAAAGCAGAGATGGCTTTTACATGAATCTGCAGTGCTCAGTTCAGAGTTATTAATGACAGAAAATAATTCAAAGCCTTTAGTCCCTAATTCGCTCAGACCTGCCTGGTTGCCCTTCAGCAGCCCCTGGCAACAGTGAACGTACTGTCATTTATTATTTAAATAAAACAATCTTTTTAATAAAAAGAAATTCTGACCCCATTTAAACTCTGCACCTGACAAGACACCAGCTTCTTTCCTTCACCTCTGGTGCTGCTCACACAACATTTTTTTTAAGCTGACCTGCCCACACAGCTTCTGATAAGCCAATGCTACATTGCCAGCTCTCCTCAGCATCACTCGAGTGGGAGGTTTAAATACCAGACTTCACAAAACCCTTTCTCCATGATTCCTAGCCCTGGCATTTCTTGAAGTATTGACAGATCGGCAAGCCTTCCCAGCTCGCCCAAAAGTGAGCCAGCTGGACCTGCTTCTGCTGGACAAATGCAGAGAGAAGAGCTGGTCCCTGAAATCCCAGCACTCACCTCTCGACCCCTAGGTGAGTTTTGAGGAGCCTGGACCGGCTGACACCGATGTGCCGATGCAGACTCACTCCCCAGGAGCTGCTGGTCTGAGCTCCCCTGCCCATATGAGATGCCTGGGCAAAAGGTGAGCCCAGGCAAGTTCCAAACCTCAGCAGACTGTGGGCAATAAAGCCAGCAGCCTACATCGTGCTCACTATTGTGCAACCAGGATGGAGCACGGAGAAATAAAATGCATTCCCTAGGGAGACACTAGAGGAAGCACAAGCCGGGGGACAGACACACCCAAACCAAGGTGGCTGCCTTTCAAATGACAATGCTGCTCCCAGACATCCCAACAGACAAGTCCTGCCCAATGCACAACCACTGTCCTGCCCTCTGACAAGCTGCCCTTCTACTCAGAGTGTGAACAAAACCCCCCAAACTTCTAATGGCCCAACCTCAATGAGCACACATCAATTTGAGCCCAAGTTACACATCAAGACATTTGCCAGTAACAGAAAAAACAACCACTGCTCATTTACTGACTCTCAACTCCCAGCAACAGAAACTACCCAGGTCCATGGTATGGACACAGCCTCCTCCAGCCTCATCTCAACACCAGCCACATCAGCACAAACCACACTGGGAGGGTCAGCCCTGCAGCAGCCACCCCTAAACCCCCCGTGCCAATGCTGGCCCGTGCATCAACCCTGAGCACAGTGGTGATGATGCCTGAGAGGCCAGGCTCAGCTCCCAGACCTTCCTGCAAGCATGACAGCAACACCTCCCAGCCCAAACTGCTGCCATGTGTCAGTAAGACACGATCTCTTGCCCCAAGGCTGCACCCACGGGGCTGCTGCACGTCTCTGCACCGTGTTCAGGAACACAGCCAAACCCACCGGGGTCAGCACGGTCACGGGCCCTCAGACACAGCGTGCAAGGCACTTTCACAAGCAATTCTCCATTGAAATCAACATCATGACTGGGATGACATTTCAGCACAAGGAGGTTTTCCCAAAAAGCTATGTAAATCTCTCCAAGTCATGCACTTGCCATCCCAGCGGCGTGCACTGGATCAGCTCCCGCAGCAGCCACCTCCCTCCAAGGTCTCCCCAGCCAAGAGGGGCACATCCTTCCACGCTGCAGATGTAAATCCACACCTCTCAGCTCTCCAGTCTCGGACAGAAAGAATGAAGCTGGTTTTTCTTGCTTCCTGCATATTTTTTTCTTGCTTCCTGCATATTTCAAGATAGTGTTTCAATAAAGAAATGCTTCAATGCCACAGCCAGGGAGACTCAGCAGAAACTCCCACTGCCAGTGTTGCAGCCAATCCTCTTTGCACTTCAGTCTGCTGGGTGGCCCAAGACTCAGAAAGGGCTAAGGTGCATATTTTTGCAAAGCTAATGTCAGGATGGACAGCAGACCAACTGATCACCAACAAAACCAAGGAATTATCTGAGTTAAGACTGAGTTCCTGCTGGGGAGATCCAGCAGATTCCCATTCAAACCAAAAACCCTCCTAGCTGAAGGCTGATCCAGAAAGGAGCAGAGGTTCACCACATGTCATGAACTCAAGCCTCAAGAGGAGGTGTGGAAATGGCCAGGGTCACCAAGTTCACAAGCAAAGCAGGCCCTGCTCAGGACCTGACAGCTACGTTACCGTGTTTTGGATATTTCACTCTCCTGCAAGCTCTAGCTCATCATGATAAACCTAATGCCCATGGGTTGGTAAAACTTGTCTTAATTAAACCCAAACTGTATCAGGGCTTGTGCTCTTAGGCTGCTCCAAGGTACCTCACACAGGGACAGTAGAATTTCCTACCAAACCACACGCCCAGCTCAAGCTGCAGAGGTACTGCCACAGCCCAAGTGATTGTGGTCCCCCAAAATAAGACAACACCCACATGCAGGCAAAACCCATGGCCAGCCTGAGCAGACTCCACCTTGGCTGGCCATGATGCCTTCCAGAGCAGAAAGCTCAGGACCAGATCCCATCTCCAGGTGAAGGAGTGCCAGCAGTATCGATCTGCAGGGGGACAGTGAAGCATTGTTTGGGGATATCCAGCCATTCACTCTGTCTTGTTTTAATCAGTAAACATTCAAAAGACAGATAGTGAGGCCGAAAGTCCTCTATCTTTATCTTTTTTCACTTAATCTCCAGTTGACATTTTTCTGTGAAAACACGCCTCGTTTCTTGCTGTATGACTTTAGCTCTCCCTCCCCTGTGATATTTTGCCTCAAACAGGCTACACAACCGGTTACTACTTTTATAGAGGTGGGAGTGACATGCTTTGACTCTTCCAAAACACAAAATGCTCATCTGGCTTCAGCCACCAAACTGCTACAGTGGGGACCAGCAGAGCTACCCCAGCTGGGGAGCTGAGGGTCTGCTGCTCCATGATCCCTTGGGACCAGCTGCCTGACACCCCGCAGCTGCTTGTGGCACACAGCCACTGTCATCAGGCTCCCAGGGCTTCTTTGAGTGCCGTACCTGTGCTGATGCTGAAGCACTTGCACGGCAGCCCAGGTGTACCTTGGCCATCCATCTCTGCCACATCCCAACTCCCACCTTGCTCCGATAGCCTTTTCCCACCCTCCAGACAGAGAACACCTTTGCTGGGACTGCTGGGAGCTCCTCCCCTGTCAAACTCCCTCACCCAGCTTAGTCTGCCGGCTCAGGAAATGCTTTTGTTAGTGACAGCACCACGCCTGCCCCAACACCAACCTGCTCATCCTTTCCCTTCTAATGTACTCCTCCAGCAGCAACTTCTATGCCAAGCAAACTGCAGTAAAATATCCAGAATGCCATTGGAAAAGTAACCCTGTGAACCCCCTGCAAATGGATGATCTGGCCTTTACTTCTCTCTGCTATCTGCAGCTGTTCTGCACTAACAACAAGCAACACACAGCCCAGAAAAGCCTCGTGGCCCACTTGTAATTCACAAGAAGTGGGATGCCTGCAGACCCTGATGTGAGCTGCCTTTCTCCCAGACGGCAGTGCTGCTAACACACACCCCGTCGGTAACTGAAATGCTTTGGAAAGACGACAAGCAAAGGAGGATAGGCAGGCTAAGAGAAACTCCCAGAGCGGACCCAGGACCATCTGGCACGAACGGGAGCCTCTGCTGGGGGCAGAGCAGAGCAGAGCAGGCAGCCCGGCTCCAGCTGCGGAGCTTCCGGAGAGCTGCCACACCAGAGGAGCATCCTTCCTGTGCCATCGCCCTCTGCCATCCCAGCACAACACGCACCTCTTCAGAGAAGAAAAAAATACCATGAACTGCAGGCCCAACGATTAGGCTCTGGGGAATACGAGCTTTTAAAAAAGGTTATAATTTTGGAAGTCCATTTAAATTAACCTTAACTAGCTTTAAACTCTATATACGTATCTCCTTGCCACGCTCGCAACCCACGCACATTTTGCGGTGCCAGTGAGCTAAATCATGTGCAAGCAAGCAGAGTAAAAGGAACCACAAAAAAAAAAAAAAGCTCTGGGCAGAAACTCTCTTTCATTGTTGCAAGCGGCAAAGAAGATGGCAACAGCAGAAGGAATCAGGAATAAAAATGGAACTCGCTTGTTTACCTTGTCGGTTTTGTCAAAACATTGTGACAACGCTTTGCGTGCAGCCAGTTTCTCTGTTCTGCCACCAAAAATTCAGAGCCCTTCACCTTTCTTCACGCATTATAGGAGAAAGCCAAGAAGAGTAAAACTTTTAGGGAGAGAAATGAGTGTGCAAAAGATATAAAAAAGCCCAGCATGAGAATTTCAAACTACTGGGCTCCTCTTCCAGATAGTCCAAACACCACCAGGAACAGTGACCCTCCAGCTGCACAAGCTGAGTTAACGAGGAGCAGGCAGCCAGCGAAGGAGGAGAGTAAGACAATAAAGGGAAAGTTTGGGTAAGCCTGACAAAAAGCAAAAGAAAAAAAGAAAAAAGAAGTTAAAAAAAAAAAAGCCAGGAAAAAAAAAAAGCCGCAAACTGGGTTTCTAAAAAAGATAAATTCTTGACAGTGTCTTTTTTAAAAGAGAAACTCACAGTGCTTCAGGCAGAGCCCTACCTCTCCAAAAGCCATGCAATCCAGTAGGAAGCAGCAGGTTTTTGAAGGAGCAAATTGCACAGCTGTGGAAGAATTCGCTTTTACTGCCTTCTTTCCAACTCACCTAAGAAAGACTCAATATCTACCTGGAGGACTAGCAAAACTGAGGAAATTGGTTGGTTCTAGTTATACTTTTGAGGTTTTCACGCTTGAAGAGAGCCCCTAAAATGTAAACCTGTTTTAGCATTCTTGTACATTAATGTCATCGTTCTCCCTGCTGACTCCCACAACTTCTGCCACAGACAAGTCAATCAGATTTGGTATATGCCCTGGGACAGGGAAGGGGAGGGCTGGGTTTAAAGCAAACAAGCAACCAAAAAATAATTATGTCAGTGCTCTGCAAGGTGTTGGATCCAAGCTCGGTGGATCTGCTGAAGTCTTCGATCCAAGACACTTGGCAATTTTACTTAAAAAAAATGAAACAAAAAAACCTTTGACCTGTTGAACTTAGAGAAAAGCAAGTGGCAGACCTTGGAGGAAGGGAGACAGCGTGTGAGGGTGCAAAAACATCATGTGCTGTAGTTCACCACTTTAGAAGAAATCAGAGTTTTGCTTTGGTTGGTTTTGATTTTTCTGACGTGCCAGGGAAAGGCGCTTCCCAAAGGGCGACTTTAGAGTTTACAGGTGCCAAGGTGGAAGCGGGAAGTGAAGACATGCCAAAAACGTCAGGTTTGCATAAACCCTCCTGGAAAAAGTGCACTGTGTTTTAGGGAAAATGCATATCTACCAAATCTCCACTGACCAGGGGCCACTTGTGCACACAAAGTTGCATCAATTGGCAGCATCAATGCTGACATTTTTGCCTTCTCCTTCCACCCCCCTCCCCAATTTTTTTTTTTCCTTGGGAGACATAGAGCGCCACTGCATTAGAACGTACAAGAAATGAAAACAGTGAGTACGACTGATATAGATCCATTGACTTTTTATTACAAATGTACTTGATCACTTGGCTTCAAAAAAGTTTAAATCAACCCCTATTTTCTGTACGCCAGTACAAAGTAAAATCTATTTTACAAATTAAATACCTAAAAATTTGACAAAAATATTAAAGTTTGATGGAAAAAACAGTTATAAAAATCTTAAATCCCCTTTTAAGAAGATAAGAGATAACATTCCCTCCCAACCCCCACAGTCCTGTTATACAATATTAATAGTCATTTTTTTAGAATAGGTAGGTATGTTATATCTTGCTGTTAGCATACAAGTCACTCTAATAGCTTTATCTGTATATACTCCAGTTAGTGCATGAATGTCATCTGATTGAATATAATCAACTATCTTTAACTGATCCCTAATTTACATTTCATAGCTTGCATAGTTTGAAGGGACAAAGGTTACACTACAGCTAATCATAAAAAAAGGTGGTTACAGTGCTATTTTTAAAGGCAACAAAGTAATTGCTCCCAAAAAAAACCCAAACCCAAAACTAAACGAAAAAAAAGAAGTTACCGGTCGGCTCTGAGCAGGGGTTAAATCCCCGGCAGCAGCTCTGCCTGGCTCACGGGGTGGGCTCTGCGCCCGCCCGCTGCCCCCGGGGCAGCCCCTCTGCGCTCCCCGCAGCCCCGGGACAGGTCGGGAGCCGCTCTCCCGGCAGCGCTACGCCCAGCGCATGTCAACCCCTGCGAGGGATACGCGCAAAGTGACACTGTCAAGTATTTTTTTCCTTTTTTGAAAAATTTTTTCCAATTGAATTTTCAAAAAACGAAAAGCCCTCCGCCTACGGGCGCGCCTGGCTGGGAGCTGGGCGCGCTCCCGGTACCCGCGGCTCGCCCGCCGATCCCGCCCGGCCCGACCCGGGGCTCCCGGTACCGGGGCTCGGGGGGAACCCCGGCGGGTCCGGCCGGGCCCCCCGGCCCCGGGAAGTGCCGGCTGCCTCCCGCCGCAGCATCGTCAGCGGGACCGCAAAGAAGAGGCAGGAATCAACCGCGGCTCGTGCTGTTTCTTTTTTTCTTTTTTATTTCAATTCTCAAAGACAGAGCAATTTCACTTTTTTGTTTTCATTTTAACAAAAAAAAATAGAATTTGAATTCGGAGGACATTTCCCCGTTAGCATAAAACCACTTAAAAGGTGGTTGTATTTCAATGGTAAATTACTTGACAGTGTCCCTTTAACTTAAAAATA